AGTGTGCAACAATAATATAAATACCAATTGACACGAACAGGGGTATGAATATCGATACAATGAGTTTAATAGAAAATATCGACGATCTTGTAATGAAATACATATTATCTATGAAAATTAAAATGTAACCTATCGTTAGTGTTGATGATAATGTTCCTAATATGATTTGATAACCTGCAATATGTAATATATTCACATCATGTACAATCACAAATATAGATAAAAACAGAACATATACATATCTTCTTCTATGCATCATATACGGTTCCAAGAGTATTCCGGTGCAGTAGAACGCGACAAAAGATATACAGAAACTTAACATTTCACTAATTAATATTACTAACGATGGTAACCTGTACTTCATAAAAAATGGATAAAGTTTTACGTTAATTATCGCAGATATTGCTATATTCATTATATCATATCAATGATCCCAAAACTGACAAGCTAGAGATTGTGTAGCATTTCGTCTGACCTGTTTACCCCATCGATGACATGATATATATAAATAAAATGTTGTATAATCAACCGTAATATATAATGATACCGATATAATTCTGACACTAATACTAATAGCATACGGTGTAGCAAGAACGGTGGTATCAGTATAATTATTGGTGATAGTCTGTACGGTAAATGCTTATTTGTAAATAAATCACAAAAATATATCAAAGCTTTTATCAAACGATCACGTTGGACTTGTTTATAAGATTCATTTTGTCTAAAATAATGATACTTAGTTTAATATCAATAACAATTATTTGATAATACAAAAATGACAAGAAAGATTTATCAGCGCTATTATGCTGATCAATATTCGTTTCATCGTTTGAGTTAGTTGTTGAGTCTAATGAAAACTGGCAACTTTTTTCGTTCTTTTTTGCAAGTTTCGTCAAGATTTTAACGACTGTTTGTTAAATCACTTTTTTTTATATTCAATAGATTAATACGTCTAAAAATTCGTTGTTCTGCAATCTTCAAATGTCCGAAGAAAAAGCAAGCGTTGATAAAAAAATAAATTATCAACGTTGAGTAGTGAAATAGAAGGTGATGGTAGCGATGACAGAGAAAATGACTCGAATATCGAAAGAAGGTACTTTCTGAATCCGAGTTCTAGATATGTAAACTGTTCTTACTTTTATGCTACTAGAATCGAGAGAACAAGGCAAAAAACTCAACATTGATGGTTGTTTAATAGAGCTGGATGTGAGTGATGCCACAAATAGTGACTCAAATATTCGAATGACCCTTTTACTTAAATAATGAATGTGGATAAAAGAAAAATCCTTACTTCTATGTTAACAATCGATGATTATTTACAATACAATGAAATGTAAATGACGACAAAGAAAGAGTGAAACGAATATTTGAAAGAAGCTATTGCTATAATAAGGATACAAGGTAAAAGAAAGTGTCCTTGCATTTATGCAGGTAAATAGTGTGCTGCATGATCAACAGAATCATGCAATACAAAACAAATGTTCTCTCATTCAAGCTTGCAAGACAATGAGAAAAGGAAAAAAATTACTGTCGATGATTGTTATAATACAGATAGATGTGTTTAATGACTGAGATAGTGGCTTAAATAATACTGATGAGCTATTTCTAGAAACTGGATTGAACGTAGAAGAAATATTCCTAATTTCATGCTGACAAGAGAGTATCAAAAAGCAAAAAACAATCTATAACGATGATTGTCTAATAGAGATAGATATGAATGGCGTTACACAGAATGGAGCTAATACTCAACAGACAAGATTACTGGTAAAAGGAATGTCTCTATTTTTATACGTGCAAATCGTGTAAAAAAGCAAAAAACCAGCATCGATGATTGTTTTAATAGAGATGAATGTGAATGATGCCACAGATAGTGACTCAAATATTGGAAGGAAGCTATTGCTGTAATAAAGATAATAGATTAAAAAAACAGTGTCCTTATATTTATGCAAGCAAATAGTATACTACATGATCAACAGAATCATGCAATACAAAACAAATATCTTGGGATGTGGGTAAAGATGAGGCCTCTATTCTATTCACATCCACACTTTCAATATTCAATGTGTCACAATATTTTGTAGGAACGAATCAATTGTGCGAGACTAGCTTCTGCGTAACGCGTATCTTAAACTTGCCGATATGGATGTGTGTGTGTCTCTTCTTAATCCCCATTCACACCCACATCTTGTCCATTGTTTTTCTTCAAATGAGCCTAGAATCTTTTTGATATGATGAAGAAATGAAAGAAAGAAAATACTCTACTAATGCTGGCACGTCTCTCATCAAGTCAAATAGGATTATAATCCTTTGGAAGACATGTCGAATGGTTATATGAGAAATTGTTTCAGCTGTTTTTTTTAGTATACTTCTTTCTCTTTTTCAAATCTATCTGTCATATGTAAAAGTAGTTTGATTCAAAGACAGAGGCAAAAAATGTTCTTACCCGTACTATTATTCTTTATCTATTTACCACAATTACAGGCAACAATTCCCTATGATGGAATCATTCATCGATCAACTGATGGTAGTTCTTATGCATATCTCTCTCCACCAAGACCAGGAAATCATGCATCATTTATTGAACAGATGACACCAAGTGGTACATTAGCTGTTGCTTGGTTTACAGGTGGTGAAAATTCACCAAATTGTTCAATATCAGTATCACTTTTAGAAGTTGGATCACAACAATTTACTCCTGGTGTTATTGTAAGTGAACGTGTTAATTATTCAAATCAAAATCCAGTGCTTTTCTGGGATAATGAAACACAAATATTACATTTATATCATTCATCACAATTAGGTAATGCAGGTGAAACAAATTCTGAAATATGGCATGTACAAAGCAAAGATCGAGGTATATACATTCTACTAAGATATTGATTTTTTCCGAAACGGTGGTTTTAGTTGATTAGGTGCAATCTGGTCAACTCCTAAATCTTTCTATACAATACCAGGTGCTTTTGATCGTAATCGTATTATTTCGACGTGGAAAAACGATGGCATTATTTTTCCATGTTATAATACATCAACAAATTCGGGTTATTCATTTATACTTCGATCAAACTTTATCACTTCAACTTGGACACGTACTGATATTCCAATGACTACTAATCTTGTTCAACCGTCGATTGTTCGTTTGACTAATTTCTCACAATTGCGAGCATTTTTTCGTGATCGAAATGCTATATCAATATATTATGCTGATAGTAATGATGATGGATTAACATGGACAATAGTAAAACCTACATGTTTGCCAAATAATAATGCAGGCATTGAAGCATATACATTAAAAACTGGAACTTTAATTATGGCATTCAATAATCATAATGGGACATATCAACCAAGGTCACCATTAACAGTTGCACTTTCTTATGATAATGGATTAACATGGCCATATCAAAGAAATATTCAAATTCATGATGATGATAATAATACACAAATTGGAGAATATTCATATCCATCATTATTACAAAGTTTTTGGAGTGGAAGTGATGATAATGATATTCATTTAGTATACACATATGATAGAAAAACAATTAAATACGTTCGATTTAATGAAAAATGGATTAAAGAACAATGACAGTAATTTATTAACATTAGAACTGATAGAAATTTGATTTTTTTATGAGAAAATAAATCTATAAAAATATCTTTCGATATATCCATTAAAAATAATCTTTGCTTCTCCTTACAGTTTTCAGTGTCAATTCACATAAACAAATCAAGTTATTCTGTTTTATCGAGTAACGTAGTAATAATAGCAGCTGTATAAGTCCAAGAGAAGCTAAAGTTATCTGATGCTAAAACTCTCAGATCTATAGCTTGTTCCAGAACCAAATGACAAAGTTGTCTTTGATGCGTACTTTCGAATTTTGTTCCAAACTTGTACCTATATCCGTCTCAAGTACAAATACTAGATCCGCTAAACCTACTCTAAAGTAGAATTTCATCAGCATATTTAGCTCTAAAATTCGTAAAATTTTTGATTTTGGTCAACACAATTTGACTGAGAAAAATGAATTGTTATAACTAATGTCAACACTACGAAACAGTAATTATTTCCAGTAGAAAGGTCGCTTCTAAGATAAGTTTTCATTCTGATTACAAATATCTAATTACATTTTATATTTTGAAAGAAAAAGATATGCTAATTTTTTCTAGAAATTTCAAATTAGAATTGATTTATTCGCTTCAATAATAAAGTACTGTTGATCTTTGTTAAGATTTCTTAGAGGATACAGGATAATTATACGAAATTCTCTAGAATATTTTTAATATTGAGTAGTGTCATTTTTATTTCTCGATGGAAAAGTGCTTTCTTCACGAAAACCTTCGGCAAGTAATCAGAAGTAGAGAGTATTTATTTATTTATTTATTTATCCAAAGAATGAAACAACATATCTGTGATAAACAAAAAAGAACATTTGAAAAATGAACAAAAATATCGCGCAGAGAGTGTGAATATATGTGTGAGTATGAATTTATATTATCTTTAGTCTGATTGACACTCACACCCACAAGTTTTGCTGGCTTTATGTACATGAAAGTGCTGTTCATGGGTGAATAAAAACTTGAAATTCGCCTTTACCCTCAGAAAAATCAGCCCATTTCATGGAAGTGCAGTGAAGGTATTCAAATTTTTCTTTGGCCAATGACTTTCTGGACACTCTCTATAGTAATCGTTATTTCTCTTGCAAATGATACTCCAATGCATAATAAAGAAATTCAAAAAAAATTCAAATAATAAAAATGACACTAAGATAAGATATCCATCAGCAATGAGTATAAACGATCGTATAACATAAAAATGAAGTGGAAAAAAGAAAAAAAAAGAGACGAGCTTCAGTTGATTTATTACTCTCCAACTCGTAAAATGCGAACAGCACTCTTATAAAAGAAATAGGTCTCTATAAATCGCAGCAACTCATTCCCCAGTAGCAGTTCAAAATATATCTAATCTATAATCATTCGTCTTTAGACGTTTCAACTTGATAATATTTATGATGATTACCAGTAAGCTATTTCCAACCAATGGTTTTTACACTATAATATTCGAGACAACAGTCTTCACCCAGATGGAATCATATCGACTGCAGCAGGCAGAAGAACGCTGGAAAATGAGGGAAGTTGCACGCTATATTTCAGATCGAAAAGTCTTCTGGTTTGACCGGCGACTTTTGAGGAAACTCTTGCTCGTATTGGCGAGAAACAGTCGAAAGTCATGAGACAAAATCGGACACTTTTTGATGGAAATGTCGTGCTGAAGTTCCATAAATTTTCGGTATTTTCTTACTGGATACGATGATTTTTCTACATCTCTTCTGAACTAGTTTCGACAAAATCTGTCTGTTTCTGGATCTCTGGATCCTGAACATAAGGAACCAAAATACGCTTTTGCTTACCAATTCATATCGAGCATTAATTTGACCTATGACCAAGTTGTTCATCTAAGTGATCTACGTGCCGTTCTAGCGAAAGGCAACATTTCGACATGTATTTTTAATGTGACTGAAAAATGTGTGGTGTTCTTCTGAGGAAATGAATTGAAGTGAATGAGCTCATCTCTCTCTCTACCACGTCATACTTTTTCAAAAGATCAGATGAATATATAGACTCAACATTCACCACCTTGAACAGGGTCTAGAACGAAACTTAATTCTATGACACGAATGGTCATGAGTCGACGGTTCTGACATCACATAGTGTAGAATATATAACTAACGGATTTGTCCCACACATTGATTGGACCATTTACGAAATTACTCAAGTGCTCTTAGAAAATTTCTGAATGAGAGAACAGACGAAGTACGCATATGATCATTGATATCAAAAGTACATCTACTTTCTTGTAGGTTTGACATACTGTCGAATACGATGCAAAGAAAGAGAAAAGTGCCATTTTTTGCTTCCACTTTTCATCGTGGAATCGTTTGTTAAGAGTCGACAGGTTCAAAATAAGCACTAAAAAGAATATAGGGCGATGAGATTGACTAGCTTCCTGTCGTGCATCCAAAGAAGTTACAAAAAATAAGAAAAAAGACTTGCAATCACATCTCTCTAGTACTTAAAAAGCAAAGACACTTCTCTTTCCAAAACATTACAGCAGATCAACAGGCAATTACAGAAGAACTTGTAAAACATTTTAAAGATCAATCTAAAGTATTTGAAATTGATCCATCTAATCCTCACAATATCCAGATTGAGATGAAATACTAGGAGTTCCAGAACATATTAGACGCTTCAACTGAAACAGAACTAAGTAGAAGCAATGCCTATAATGGCAATAACTGCAATCATTAAAAAGATGAAACGAATGAAATCATCGGAACTCAATCTGATGTCTGATCAAATGATTAAGTTACTTTAGGCTAAAGGGAATCATACAATCCCTTGAGAACAATCAAGTTTTAGAATTTTTTATCCATCTACCAAGTCAAAAATACTTCTCTGTTAATGCCTCTACACTAGCTATATATTTTGATTATAAAATAACATTTAATTTTGTTTGGTATAAAGGTCGTTTAATCAAGCCGTACAGGTTAGGCATGTCATATAACCTATTAAAAATGATTAAGTGCCGACTAGGTAAACTGTACGACTTACATATCCCATATATTTAATATACAAGTTGGCCTTTTCCAAGGAAGTAGTTTAAGCGTGGTTTATCCTTGTAGATATCATAATGATTTGATATCTTATTCAAGAGCATACTCAGGTCATCTGCTGCAGATGCACTGAATCTACTTATTTGAACTACTCCCATAAGCCATTTCTTTTCCTAGTTAAGTATTTAGAAATTGAAGGTAGTAGAGTGCACGATAGGATTACAAACTATTCGAGATGTTGGACACAACCAATAAATGTATGCAACATCCTAGCAGATAGTTTTTTTATCACAAATAAAAAGCTCATAGTTAACATTTACGCATTAAGCTATTCAAAGATTAATTGACAAGATGTCTCTTGGCCTTTGCTTGTCTCTACTTTATCTGGACTCTCATCTCGTTACCCTGCTTTATCCAATGCAGCAAGAAACACTTAAAAAAAGGTTAAAGCAAACATTCGTCTAGTTTATCATATTCTATTCATAGATGTGATGGTTTTGTCTTATTTACTTCTGAAGACCCTTCTGAAAACTTTGTTGTATGATATATTTCAAACCGATTATAAAAATATGTACCTGTTCGATTTAGACACTTCGTTATTTATAGAAGAGATATTATTTGTAGATGATTATCATAAGTAGGCCAGAGACAGTATTGCTAACTTCTTTCCGATGAAGCGCGTTAATAGATTAAAGGCTAAAAATCGTTCTTTACTCCTGATTCGGTTAGAATTCGTTAATTAACTGTCAAGATTTCTCCATGCATTTATATCTTTTCCTCGTGGTATTGCTCTTCAGTAACCAGCAAAGTAAGTTAGTATAGAATACTTAAATGACTTTGTGATCCTCCTTCCGAGCTCTTCCTTACCCATTCGACCTAGGTTTTTTATTATGCCTCATCATTTACATTGTTTGTCCTCTTTGCATTTCTTTTCTATTGCCATTCTTGCAATTCTTTATAATGTTAATTGTAAGCACGTCCGATTGTTATAATAAAAAAAGAGCAAAAACGAAAGTTGAGCATCAACGCTACACATATGTAATATAAGAAAATATTGCCAAAACTGCATTGAGCAGCTCATTACGGAGCAGACGTTAAGTTCCACTTGTACACTATTTATGTCACCCTTTAATCTTCCGATTCTCCTCCCATATTTCTATTTTTTCGTCTACTGCTGTCACCATCATAATAACACAGTACGGAATAGAGAAATAGAATTGTAGTCAGTTATATTCGTAGTATATATTTTCATTTCCAATGACACTATTGTTTTCACTTTCTCGAAAAATCGACATCAGGTGACGATTGAACGATATCAAAGACTGTTGATCTCGAATATATAGAAGTATATACGTACCTTTCAGCCCTCAACAATCATGCTTACTTTTCTAGTACGTTTGCTCTTGTTACTTGTTATTCTGATGATTAGTGAGCTTGTCGATAGTGGTCGCACAGATTGGTCAATCGAGAAGAATGCATCTTTCTGGCGTGACCAAGCTCGTGTGTCCATTGAACAAGCACTTGGACGAAAGGAAAATACACGAGTGGCGAAAAACGTCATTCTCTTTCTCGGTGATGGAATGGGTGTTTCGACGGTAACAGCTGGAAGAATACGCAAAGGCCAAATCAAGGGTCAATTGGGTGAAGATTGTATTACTGAAATGGAACAGTTTGCTTATTTGGGTTTGTCGAAAACGTCAGCTTTCAAATTCGATTTCAAATTTTTCATTCATTTTCAATGAAACGTATTTCTTGTCTATCTAGATATAACATTGATTATCAAACACCAGATTCAGCAGCGACAGCAACCGCTTATTTGTGTGGTGTTAAAGCACAGTTGGGCACAATTGGAGTTGATGGACGAGCAAAACGAGGCGATTGTCTCAGTTCAAGTGATGCACATGTTGACAGTATTTTGGATTGGGCACAGAAACGAGGTGAGTTCTTTTGATCTGACAATTCTATAGATATTTGTCTTGCTTTCGTTGTTTCAAGGTAAAAAAGTCGGCATTATCACTACTGCACGCATCACTCATGCATCACCATCTGCAGCGTATGCACATGTGCCAGAGCGAGATTGGGAAAGTTTTGATGGTCAGAATTTCAACGCAAACCATTTAGCACAAGGCTGTAGAGATATCGCGCATCAACTTGTCGTTCGGACTCCTCCAATAGATCTGCTCTTAGGTGGTGGCCGTCGATATTTCTATCCAGTAACGACATTCGATGTTGAATATCCTTCCATCCGCGGATCTCGTATTGACAATCGATGTCTTATCGATGAATTCTGGAAAGGAAAATATATCTGGAACATGACTCAAATGAATGAATTTGAATTAGGTACATCGCAACCATTGTTAGGTCTTTTCGAACCTAGTCATATGCGCTACGAATCCGATAGAAGTCAGAGTGGTGATGATGAACCAAGTTTATCACGCATGACTGAATTTGCCATCGAACATTTTCTAAAATTTGATCAAGGCTTTTTTCTTCTTATCGAAGGTGGCAGAATCGATCATGCACATCATGATACGAAACCGAGAAATGCTCTCGACGAATTTGTCGAATTCGATAATGCCGTTGGACAAGCGAAGAGAGTCTTGCAAGCTAAAGGTGTTCTTGATGATTCTTTGATTGTTGTCACAGCCGATCATTCACATGTGTTTGCATTCGGTGCTTATTCTTCACGTGGTTCAAATATATTGGGTTTCGGTTCATTAGAAAATAAGAATGTCAGTGATTTTGATGGATCACCCGTAAACATCATCACCTACGGCAATGGGCCCAGATCCAATTCGTCTCGAAACGCCACTTATTTGTATTCAATAAACATGAATTCGACCGACTATCTTGCACCAGCAGCTCTACCCATGAACGCAGAAACTCATGGTGGTGAAGATGTTCCAGTATATGCTCATGGACCTTGGAGTCATCTATTTATTGGAACCTTCGAACAACATACGATTGCGCACAAAATGGCTTATGCAGCATGCTTGGGTGCCTATGAAACCAGAGAGGGATGCTCAAAACCATTGTCATCATCATGCTCGACCTGTAATCCAATATTAATTGTCTTTTTTTTATTTCTTCTAATTAATAGCTTGCATCATATAGAGAAGCAATAGGCTAATCCAATGCTAACTTGTCTAAATCACTTCAATCGACATCGTGATTTTAAGACTGTAATTTGTTAGATATTTTATTCTAATTAATATGGCATTGTAACTTTTAATAATTTCCGAAGAAAAACAATAAAATATTGATTCATATTGTGGTAGAGCGAACTCATTTTTTATTTTCTGACAACATTCATCCACTCATGAAGAGAATCTATGAATGAATAGATCTGTGACTTCTCTTCTTGTTTTGTTACAATTAATGAACACAAGAACGATGTCTCTTTACTGATAGAGTGTGGATGTAGAGCGAAGATGCACATTCACATTCAAACTCTTCATTTTGGTATTAAACGAGAGTTATATTCAGAAGCAACTCGTAAAACTGCATCGCAAATATGTGTAGCAACCATGTCTTGCAGGAAAATTTTTGACTCTTTATGCGAAAACCTTTCCCAAAAATTGGCTTTTTCGACTTTGTAAATACTGAAATTCGATCAAATCTAATTGAGCTCAAACTTTCAGGAAATATCCCTTCATATGAGACCTAACCATGACTACGGACCGCGTCGGTAATTCTAAAAAAAGTCTTGTTTAATTACCTTCAAACCCATTTTTTGTCCTTAAAATAACGTCTTAGCGCAAAGTTAATGCAGTATTCGTAATCAGCGTGTAAAGCTGTGTCGGATGATGTGTGGCAGAATATATTTTCTATCAAAAACTTTTCTCGAACACTGACCAGAGTACCGTATAGGTGAGATTTTGCAGAAATTTTTTCATCAAACAATGGCTTATTCCGTTAAGGATGATTGCCTAAGTGGTAAATAATCATATCTGAGAAACAAAAATTCATTTTCTATCACAAAATTCGCATGTTCACCTACTATGTGGAAGCTGTTCACTATACTACACGCTCACACCCATCCTATCGCAGTTCAGTGAAAAGTTTTTCGTTCTGTTCGTTTCTACGACGACCAATGCGGTACATCTTCCTTCACCCAAAAAAAGTCGGCGTTCCGCGTCAGCTTTGTTTTAGTTCTCATGTTTCAAGTATTATTAATTCATGGCATTTTTTTCTTCTTTCTTTTGTTTTCTTTTCAGTGTTTGTTATTTCTTATCAGTTCGTCAATAATGATAAAAGACAGAACAGAACTGTGATACGCAAAAGTATATGATACTGAAAAACATTTTTCGTTAGATGCATTTTTCGTTTTTGATTCAAAGAACGAGTTACGACAAAGTGTGTCCATATCCAAGTGTATCTTGCAGATATGTCTGGGTCTTTTTAGCTAAATATTACATCACTCCAGAATATATTCCAACGAAAGTGAATTTAACCATGTGCCCGAAATAAACAGAACTAGGATAACCTTGGATTAAAACTGTCTCCCTCAAAGTCGAACAAACATGCTTGTAAACGACCATAAATCGTCACATTTTGGCGTACACATGGCTTCATATTGCGATCATATTTTTTCGTATACAAAACGGAGTTATTTGATAGGCCAAAATACGATCGTATACGATGAAATATAATATGTATATAGTCGTTTCCGTGTGTATACAGATTTATTATACACCGTCCCGTGCTATGCGATTTGTTTCTTTCTGCCTTAGATAAAATACGATCCACAGCTCGCTAGATTATTCTAGTTAGTCTAACTTCACCTACCTCTAATCATTTGTTTAATTAGTGAGTTCATGTCCTCTGTAAGTACCGAAATAGTGATGATCAACGTGAGAGAAGTTGTCCCGTGAGGAAATCTATCATGGAGTCAAAAAAATGATCCTTTTCAACATTTTCTCCATTTCGAACATTAATGTACACCGAAATATTGGATTGCCCTTGACTTTCATCATACCATCCCTTTGCAATGGAAGATTTGGTAATGTTTTAAATGAACGTTGATTTCATAGATTTGCTCTTTTTCCATCTATTTTCATTGGCAGACAAAAGTAAATTATTTTTTTTATCAACAATGGTTATTCTACTTTGAGAAAAGTTCTATCTTTTTTGCTATGTACATTGTTTGTATTACTTAGTTGCTCGTAAAAAGCAGGATAAATACACAAATGTGTTCAGTATTGTACATACTTTTTTTAGTCGAGACGAATATGACAGATACAATTTTTCAGTGATTCTTGTGGAAAATCTAATACTTTCATAAAGCAAGGAGGAGTAAGTAGTCACAAATAGATCAGTGTTCTGTTTTACATAGTGATTATTCTTTTTACTTTATAATATACAACATATTGTCTTCGCAAAACTTGTAGAGGAAACGTTCTTCATTCTTTCTATGTTTTTCATATTTTTCAAAGTCTCACCAAGAAACATATTCTTGCCAAATCTTTTATGAAGCTTATTCGCGATGTTGCTCATTTCTTGAGATCGAAATAAAATAAACACTCAATGCAGAAATACGGTGTAAATGAGTCGTTTTTCGAAGTATTTAATATTATCAATGAGATCAAATTTTTCAAGTAATTTCAAGTTGTTTATCGGTTTCACTTCTGTTATTCAATAATCTAACTATTTCTCTAGAAACCTACAATAATCTTTTTTTTAGAATCTTGTATGAATCCAAATATTGAGATGCCTATCAAGAGTTCCAAAATAAAATGTTTCGCCTGTGTATTGTGTTTGAGACGAAGAAACAACATTACATTGCATTGGTATGGAATAAAAGAGTAATGTCAGCTATGGCAGTAAGGACTTCTAAAATTTAAATTTCACAAGATTTTAACAGGACTAACTTACATTTTTTTCTTTACAAAGTTTAAGTCTAATATTATTGGAAAGAAAACTATCTCGATTCAGTTAAAATTTTCCAATCGTTGTCTTCTGTTCAAAAGAACTATGAATCGCACAAAGATTTCTCAACATTTTTTGTTTCTTTTCTATAAAAGTATTACTGATAGAAAAACGAAAAATTATGCGCTACTTTGATTTTTTTAAGGCAGGAAGAACGACGAAACCTATTAGTCTGATTACATAAGATTTTTTCTATGGCTTCATCACTTCAACGAAAACGATGTAGATACGGTGGTCAATGTTCAGATATTGATAATAAGCAACATGGCCAAGATTTCGACCATCTCTCATATTGTCCAGACGGAGGCCATTGCAAAAATACGACACAGAATCATGAGAAAGAATATCGTCATGTATCAATGTGTCCAGATTTACATCTATGTGTATATTTTCAAAATAATGATAAGAATTGTTCGATAGTAACGTCATCATATACTGAGAAGAAAGAAGTTGGTCAACACATGATGCTTGATGGCATGAAGAAAATGGAAATTCCTTCAGTTGATGACGTCAGCAACATTTGTTTTAACAAAAAAAATCTAACGCTCCATGCTGCTGGATTAGGCAATTTTCGTGCAAAATATTGAAATTTTCGGCCACAATTCTTCGAATAATTTTCAGGTCTTAACAATCGCTGTTTGATATTTTCTTCAGTTTCTTCTCACACCGAGCAAAGAGATCATACTACTTCTTTAAACTATTTAGAGTCATTTCTATTGAGAAAATTGTTATGGAAGGATGTAATTGTAGTTCTTTATAAGTACCGAAACTGTTAGATTGTACCCAATTCGAACATGATTTGAATAATAAAAAGAAATGCATATTTCACTGTGAATTATATTACATATTGATCGAGGAGTGTCAACGTGGAAAATTGTTATTATTGATGAATTCTTTTATTTATATAGTAATTCTTTGGCTTGAATATGTCCGGTAGATAAAAGAAAAATAACAATACAAAAATGAAAAGAAAAACAATAACAGATATAAAGGCCAAAAAAAGTACCGTACATTGGATTAGAATGAAGATTCAAAGTAATAGTTGAGGAAGTCATCTCTACTTAAGAAAATAGAAGTACCTTTACCTAATGCTTTCTTAATCGGATTGTTACCGACTTTCGTAATGTTAGTCTACAATACTATAATTTCGATAAATATCTGTGGGAAGGAGGCAGACAAGAATTTTATTTGAAAACGAAAATTCACATCAAACGCAAGGTTGAATAAGAGATTGATGAGCGGTGTAAATAGAGAAGATTAAAGAATGGACGACGCCTCTTCAAGAATTTTTTCTAGTAGATCAATAATGTATCATGTGAATAGAAATGCTTAGAGAAAACGAAAATTGAGTGCAGGAATGTCACTTAGTGGCACAATTGATGCGATTCGATTGGTGCCGGGAGGTCATTAAATTTTGGAAATCTTTCGATTTTGCCCAGCTAATCTGTGAGAACGTTTTTCTGTTCTGCCCGTCTGTATGACGACTACCATGGACAAAGTCTCCTAAAAAAAGACAAATTGACAGATTGAGCTAACTTTGAACAGTAGAGGAAAGAAAGTTAACAAATGTTTTCGTGTTAGACCAAATACGATTGTTTTAATAAGGTAATAGACAACGAAAAACAAGAATTCATCAAGCTAATCCTTTTTGACAGAATCAAGACAGAATTTTCACCTTATTTTGCAAAATTTTTGAGGAGAAATATTGTCTCATGAATTCTACAAAACTTTTCAATAATTTTGTCACTAAATAGGTTTTGGTCTGGATGTGTGATTCTCTTTACTCATATCCACAACACAAGAAAACAGTCTGATAGAAACGGTTACTATTGTTTCTTTGTCTCTATGCTCTCTGCTTTCTATCAAATAATGTAAGAAGGGAGAAAAAATAAATTGGTGAGAGAATGCATACTTTGATTGTTAAAACATTTCTATGTGTGTTACAGGAATACACAGAACAGGTAAAAACGAGTATAAAACACTGACTTTGTTGCATTGCATGCACATTTTCATTCTCTTGTTCTCATTTCTTCGTTATTTCTTCAACTGTGATTTGAAGAAAAAAAATTAAAATAAAATCGACTCTTGTTCTATACATAAATCATTGAGTTTTGAATGGTCGACAAAAATATATAAAGTGGGTAAACAGTCGGAAAAAGCTTCAGTGTCAATATCGTTTTAATGGTCGATAGTTGCTAAGTG